AGGGTAAGGATCTGTGTTGTTATTCCAGCCCGGAGGTCGAGGCTCCGTATGTCAGCGAGGAGGAGAAGCAAAGGCTCCTGGAGCTCTACCGGTACCTGCACAGCCGGGCCCACAACTCCTCCCGCCCCCTGAAGAACATCTACCTCCCAGGCCCCAGAGAGAACCTCCTGGCCTGGGTAAGAGCCACTCAGCCCAGGAGAGTGGCCACGGCCACAGCTCTGGGGTCAAGGGTCCGGTGCTGGCCGCAGTAGCAGGCTTTTCTCCTCTGACCGGGACCGGCCAGTAGGGGGGCAAAGAGCCACCCGCCTTGGGGGGGTACCGAGCTGAGAGAGCAGCTGAAGGCCCCACTATGGTCAGGCTGGCGGGGACATTCCTCTGCATGTGGAACGTGGATACCAACCCGCTGTCAGGAGGGGGCCTGGGAAATAAGAACGGCTTAGTGTGTGTCATAAGCCCTATACTGTTTGCTGGTCAGGGGAATCTCCTTCGGGTCCTGCGTCCTCTCTTAGGTTAGTGCTGTCGCCACTGGGCCTCCTGCAGAAGCCCTCGTGGTATCTGGAAGCGGGCGCATGCCCAGGCTCTGACGGGTCGGATACCAACCCGCTGTCAGGAGGGGGCCTGGGAAATAAGAACGGCTTAGTGTGTGTCATAAGCCCTATACTGTTTGCTGGTCAGGGGAATCTCCTTCGGGTCCTGCGTCCTCTCTTAGGTTAGTGCTGTCGCCACTGGGCCTCCTGCAGAAGCCCTCGTGGTATCTGGAAGCGGGCGCATGCCCAGGCTCTGACGGGTCTGCTGCCCTCCCCCCAGGTGTCCGGCGCCTTCGAGCTAAGAACGGCTTAGTGTGTGTCATAAGCCCTATACTGTTTGCTGGTCAGGGGAATCTCCTTCGGGTCCTGCGTCCTCTCTTAGGTTAGTGCTGTCGCCACTGGGCCTCCTGCAGAAGCCCTCGTGGTATCTGGAAGCGGGCGCATGCCCAGGCTCTGACGGGTCTGCTGCCCTCCCCCCAGGTGTCCGGCGCCTTCGAGCTGTACGTGTGCTACAGCCCGCTGGGGACCAAGGCGGCCGTGCTCAGCGCTGTCAGCAAGCTCATGAAGTGGATCCGCAGGGAGGAGGAGCGACTCTTCATCCTGACGCCGCAGACCTACTGAGGGGACTGGCCTGGGGCGCGCCCGCCACCCCCACAGCCCTCGG